CCCCAAAACCCCAAAACCCCAAAACCCCAAAACCCCACTGTAAACTATCTTTATTGAACTTTAATTTATTCCATTTTGGCTTTTATATGCAAGACTATGTTACTTTGACCAACATCTCTCAGTTTTAACTATTATTCTATAATCAGCAATACCAATGCTTTGTTTAATTAGAAGCCAACAGGTTGAATTAACTTCAGGAATTATTTAAAAGTTATTTAATCTCATCATTGAAATAGAAGATAGGGAAAAGGCTAACAACTTTATAGATGAATAAATTTATTCTGCAGAAGGAAACCATTTGTAAGACTTTTGTAAGATTCTCTATTCTTGCACAGGAATTGTTAATAAATGTTATTGACTTCTATGAAACCAATAAGCAGCTTCTAAGTAAAGTTTAGATAATTAGTGATAAATTTTAGATACAAAGAATTTATGATTTTTAATATTTCTAGAAAATTCACATATTTTGACAAAGCATAGTACTTTACGACATTATATAAAATCGCTTGGATTCTTCGTCTTGACGCTATAAATACTCATTCATCTGAGAAACTCTTTATAGTTGAGTTTTCCTTTCTCCATTGTTTCTCATTCCATGAGCATATTTTTAAATGCGCTTGCATCTTCAGCATCGATTTCACTGCTTTCAAGAGTGCCTTTCAGCTCCTTATCATCAATAAAGCCATCAGAGTTCTGATCAAAGTATTTAAATGCCATTTCTAGTTTATTTGAGATTCTTGGCTATCTCAGCATCTAAAGTAGCTGCCAAGAATTCGTTATAGTCGATTGCACCATTTTTGTTGGTGTCAACGCTATCCATAATAGCTTGGGCATCTTCAAGAGTATATTTCTTGCCCAGTCCCTTGTGTAACTCTTTAAGTGTTATATATCCATCCTTGTTCTTGTCAAGCTTGTCAAAACTTTCAAGTTGTCTCTTTACTTCTTCATTTGACACTCTTGAAGCTAAGAAACTGCAGATAATTTTCCGAATTTTAGATGCTTTTGTGAAGTCCTTTAATTTCTGAACATGAGTCTTTGAAATCTTTTTCTTTGTTTTTCCTAAAACTGACTTGAACCAAGGATGCTTCAAAGCAGATTTAGCAGTGAGTCTATCATTCTCGTTCGTTAATAAAGATAGTACAAGGTCCTTAGCTTCGTCAGATATATTCTCCCATTCAGGATCACTGAAATCAACTTCGGCATTTAGAATAGATTGGAAAATTTCTTCTTGTGTTTCACCATCAAAAGGAGCATAGCCAGAAAGCATTAAATAAAGTATGCATCCACAAGACCACATATCTCATGAGTATGAATAATTACCTAGAATTATCTCAGGAGCCATGAAAAATGCAGTTCCAGCTTTGGTCTGCATTCTAAGCAATGCTTTCTCTCCAGTATCAGTAACTTCAAAGAATTTTCTTGAGAGCCCAAAATCTATCAATTTAATTGTTCCTGGTCCCTCTTCCACACTACTTAGCATGAAATTTTCTGGTTTTAAATCTCTATGGCATATCCTATTCTTGTGGCAGTACCAAATTGCTTTTAAGATCTGCTCAAAAACATTAGCAGCATAGCTCTCATCAAAATGATCTTGTTCAGCTAAATGGTCAAATAATTCTCCTCCTGCTCAATATTCTTGAACAAGGTAAATATACTCTTCGTCCTCAAAATATCTGAACAGCTTGATAATATTGGGGTGATCAAGAGTCCTTAGAGCTTCTATCTCATTCTTAAACCTTGTGGGATTATTTTATTTTACTTCTGCTTAATTTCTTAATTGCTCTTTCTTCTCCAGTGGTCTTCTCAGTAGCTTTGAAGACGACTCCATATGCTCCCTCACCAAGCTTTTTACCAAAATCATAAAACTCGTTAATGTCCCCATCCATCCTAATGAAGTTTTCTTTCTTGAGGGTAAATTCTGAAACTATTTTTGCCAAATTGAAATCTCGCTTTTTCTCTTCAAATCTGTCCTTGCTCTTCTGAGATTCCAAGGAGCTATAGCCTGTGGTGAATCATACAAGGAATAGATTTGACAATTTAAATAAGTTTGTACTAAAATTAATAAAAACCATTCTGAGAATTATAATTATTGCTTCTTTTTGTCTCTCATATTTATAACAGAGCTTACTTGTCTTGTTCTTCTTCTGTAAAGAAATCTTTGACGTAAATTTGAGAGGATTGCCTAAACAGATTACAGATCCGATCTGTATTAAAACAACATCTGGCTTAGTCTGTATCAACAAAAAATACTGTATGGTGCAACACATAATTATTGTTGCAGAGCTCAAGGCTCCACAAGTGTTTATCAAGCCGTGATTGATTGACCACTAAGCTGATTGTTCATATTTGGTTATCAATAGAATATTTTTGTACATTAGAAAATGCAAATTTATTATGTTCCGAACCAACTTAGCAACTTTTGCAATATTAAAACTTTACAGCATTTTCACAGGCTGTAAATAGTTCTGAACTTATTATGAATTTATCATCATTTATCTTTAGTATAGTTAACAAATTGTTATCTAATTAACTAGACTTGGATGATCTTAAAAAATGTAGATATTTTTAAAAATTTAGAACTACAAAAGCATTTTATATATCAACTCTAATAAGTTCTTTTGAATAATTAAATAATTCTCATTTTTTTATTTAATACAAAATTATGACAAAGATCTAAAATCAAATATACTTAACCCCCTGAATCTAAACCCTCCTGAAAGACTAAACTAATCAACAAAACTAAACCTCGATCTTTAAACCTCTATCTGCTCACCCTCCACAACCCCCTCAAAATCTCCTCACACTTCTACTCCTCCCCACCCCCCTGCCTCCTCTCCTCGCCCACTTACAACCCATTGGCATCCGAATCTTTTTGTTCCATTTTCTAAATTTATTATACCACTGTCTCATTAAGGGGTTTTGGGGTTTTGGGGTTTTGGGGTTTTGGGGTTTTGGGGTTTTGGGG